ATGTGGGACTCGATCCCAGGACCCTGGGATCATGACCTGAGCCGAAGGCAGTCGCTTAACCAACTGAGCCACCCAGGCGCCCTAATCTCCTCTTCTTTAAGGACACAAGTTATATTGGATCAGGATTCACCCTAATGACCTTTTAACTTAATTACCTCTTTAAAGGCCCTATTCTCTAAATACAGTTATATTCTGAGGTATTGCAGGTTAGGACTTCAATATACAAATTTGGGGGGGGGCATGACTCAGCCCATAACAACCATTAAATATGATGCTAGTTGTAAGTCTTTGTAAATGCCCTATATCAGGTTGTTAAAATTTCCTTTAATTCTAGTTTGCTTAACTCTAAAAATCATTAATAAGTACTGAATTTTCTCAAGTTTTTTTCTGCATCTATTAAGATGATTATATGTGTTGGGGCACCTGGGTGGCTCTGGATAAAGCAGCTGACTCCTGCTTAGGTCATGATCCCAGCATCCTAGGATTGAGCGCCACATCGGGCTCCCTCCTCAGTGGGGACTCTGCTTCTCCCTCCCCGTGCTCTTGTGCTCTTGCTTGCTCTCTCTCTCTCCCTCCCTCCCTCTCAAATAAACTCTTTAAAAAATGATTATATGTGTTTCCTTTTTCTCTCTTTTAATGTCATAAATTACATGGATTGATTTTTCAAAAATTAAGCCCACCTTGTATTTCTGGGAATAACTCCATTCAGTTATGATACATTATCCTTTCTATATGTTGCCAATTTTTATTTGGGAAAATATTACAGAATATCTTTGTGGTGCATAACATATTAAAGCACGTATTTGTGGGTGGAAGGAAACATGCTATACAAATGTTTAGTCATTTATCAGAACATGAAGAATAAACATATTACTTGAAATATGTAGACAAATATCAGGAATAATAGTTCAAAGAGCTAAAAGTGAATGAAAGCAGGACTAGTGGATAAAGTCATCCCTACTCATCCTAACTTGTTTCTCTACCATTTGAGTTTTTAAATTATATGCACATTACTTTGGTAGAAGTAAAACCTGATTTATATTAATGAAAAAAAGTAAATCCTCCCCATCCAGAGACTAGTCATTAGTTCATTTTTAGTTCGTTTTCATTACAACTCTGATTCAGCTGGGATTTTTTTGGTTGGTGCATGGTGTGTGAACACCTGGAACAGGTTCTCTCTTTCCTCCCAAATAACTAGCTCCTCCCAGCACAATTTATTGATTGCCCTTAATTTTTTTCCATGTTAATACTCTCAGTAATTTATACCAGGTTGTTTCTATACCATTTGTCCTTGCCCTGGTACCATATTGACTTGAGCTATAGCTAGAATGAATTTACTGTGGTGGAGAAGCTCATCCAAACAAAAAAAGAAATAGGATGTGCAAGGCACAGAGGTTTATAAAAGCAGATGGCTGGTAAATGCATAGTTTGGAGGAATCTGAGAGTAGATATTGATGAAGAAATTGGGGTTCAGAGCAAATGGTCAAGAAAGAATTCTTGGTAAGTCTTTGGTGGTTTTATTAGAGCAGGAGGACAGGACCTATGGGCAGAAAGAGCTATACTGGGGTTGTGAGGGATGACTGATTATATACTTTCAAATTGGGAGGAGGTTAGGGACAGTACAAACCTCCAAGGTATTTTGGAAACAAGGTTTCCAGGATCCCGAGGGGGCTTGTTAGGGAAAGGTCATTTACTATGGTTTAGTAAAAACTCAGTCATGAGACCCTTCAGAAGCCTATCAGTGGGCCATATGTTTGGGGGATGATTACCAACATACATCTAGGGGGATAGAGATAAAGGAAATTTCCAAAGGAATTTTTGTATCTTAAAGAAGACTTATAGGATGGGGGGCAGGGGGGAATCCTCAGACTAAGAATGCCTCTTGCCCTTAGCAAAGTATTAACATTGAAGAAATTGAGTTCCTAGAGGAATGTCACTCTGCCTGTTTCAAGGACTATCAGTGGGCTGTAAGTAGTAAGGAAATTTAATTTTTCTTTTGCCCTGGTTTCCCATATCAGATATGTTTCGTAAATGTTGAAAGTGCAACAGTAAGTAGCATTATTTAAAACAAAACCTTGACAGGCAATCCTTGGAGAGGAATCACTAGCTTCATAAGCTGAGACCACCGCGTGAAGCAGAGACAGCAGACAAAGGCAAGCCCCTGCACTCTGGCTTCGGTTTTTCGCCAGCGCAGGCTCACCGAGTGCTGGCGGCCCAGGGGGCGGGGCAAACGTCACTTCCCCTGGCCTCTGGCGGGGGCGCGATGACGGCCCGCCTGGAGCCTCCCCAGCGGCGTCCTGGAGTCGGGATAGGAGTAGTGGTAATTAGCAGCCAGCATCCTCGTTGTGTCCTCCTGGGCAAGAGGAAAGGGTCAGTTGGAGCCGGCAGTTTTCAACTTCCTGGAGGCCATTTGGAGTTTGGGTGAGCAGCTACAGGGGTCACCCAGGGAAAGCCCAACGTGCAGGGGAAGGATGAACTCTTTGCGTGCGTCCGTGCGTCTTTGCGTGCACGCTGACGCTGCGTCTTCTCGCGCGTTCCTCTGCTCGCCCCCTCTGGCTGATAAACCCCGCCCACCCCAGGTGCACGCTGGGAGCGGGGCACTGAGCTAGGGAGGCTGGGGAAGGAGCTGCCTTAGGTGTTGAGTCCCGCTAGCACAGTCCTGTTCTTTTGGCGTCACGGTTGCGAGCTGGTGTGTGTGGTGCGTTTTTCTAGTTCTTGCACGTAAGGGACGGAAAGTGGGTCTTTATAACCCTCGAGCAGTCCAGTTTTGCCAGTGAAGGTATTTGCATGGTTTGGCTGTGCTTTAAACTTCCACGCATGGACGATCTGTTTCCTGCCCGAGCACGTGTACTTGCACCCTGACCAAGCAGATGGGCTAGTCGAACTCTCTGGGCCTCAGTGTCTTCATCTTTCCAGTGGGGAAGTTGGAACAAAGCACTTTTTAATGTCCCTCTCTGCTTTGGCATTCTGTGGTTTGATAATGGATCAGACCAACAAAAGAAGTCGGGTAGTTAAGGGTCAGGTCTACCCAAGGGTGCAGAAAGCCGGGGGTTGTGCTGAAAGGTGGGTTCTGAAGGGAGAATACGGTTAAAGTCAACAGCAGATAAACAGCATCTAAAGCGTTCAGAGCCAGCACTTGTTTTTCCATTAGTGTAAAAGTTCCAGACATGCATAAAAGAGAAAATAGTTGGTGAATCCTCATATACCTGTTACTAAGCTTGTTCTTCTTTTATCTTTATTGCTCCCTCTCAACAGACACACACATTGTTTTCTAGACTCGTCTAAAGGAAAACTCAGACATTTATTATACCACCCCTAAATAATTCAGTATGTATCTGTAATAGGCTTTTCAAGAGACGTAAACACGTTTTCCCACCTTAACAAAATACCATTTTCACACCTCAAGGTAATTCTTTAATAACCTATGATACCCAGTCTGTACCGTCTTTCCCAATTGTCTTGAAAATGTCTTTTTATTGTTTCGTACCAATCGAGATCAAAGGAGGAGTACATATTACATGTACTTTGGGATTGATAAATTTTTTTAAGTCTCCAAATCCAATAGTAATCCACCCCCCCTTTCCCTTTCTTTCCATGCTATGTTGAAGAATTTGGGTCATTTGGAGAATTTCATACATTCTGACTATATTCTTCTAATCCACCTATTTGTTATAAAGTGCTAGTTAGAAGTAGAGGTTTGATCCTAGTTCCCTTTAACCAGACTTTGTCTTTTATGAAACATGGAATTCTTATGTCGTAGCACATGGAATTTTTTAAATAGTCTTCAGGATTTTAAAAAGCATCAATAAGTTTATCATTTTTAGATAATTAAGATAAGCCATCAGTTAATAACTAATAAAATTTCGGGCACACTATATTGTACTTGGTCAATTGTTAATAGGCATTAGGTCACAAACTAAGCACTAGTTAGAATGTATAATTACTGGAGCAATGGCTAAAGATAGCTTAATAATAACACAATAAAGTATTGGAATCTTTACTCAGATATCCAATGATAATAGCCAGAATTGAACTTTAATGAGCTTTTTACTAAGTGCTAGATATTATGCTAAGCTCTTCACATGTATGCTTTCACTTATCTTTATATGACTGGTACACTGGGCTAAGTTTGATGGGAAACAGATAGGAAATGGCTTTATTTTCTCCTTCCATTGTCTTTAAACATGATTTGTCTTTCCCTTCTCTGCTGCTCCAAGACATTTCCTGCAAATTCTATTGTTTTCCTGTCACTTGATTATAAAAATAAATCACACTTCGGTCATTGTGATCCACTTCCAAGCATTTGTCTCTCCCCTGTAGTGGGGAAAAGGAGAGAAGAGGGGGGCCTCCTCCTCTTCTCACTGTTTCTGGTTTCCTTCCTTCTCCAGGATGCTGGGGAGGAAGGGAGGGGGCCAGACTTTTTACATTACTAGTGCTGCTGTGGGGGCGCCTGGGTGGCTCAGTTGTTAAGCGTCTGCCTTCGGCTAAGGTCATGATCCCAGGGTCCTGGGATCGAGCCCCGCATCGGGCTCCCTGCTCCGCGGGAGGCCTGCTTCTCCCTCTCCCACTCCCCCTGCTTGTGTTCCCTCTCTCTCTGTGTCTCTCTCTGTCAAATAAATAAAATCTTTAAAAAAAACAAAAAACTAGTGCTGCTGTGATCCCCCCATGGGTACGGTCTGGATGCAGTATTCACAGGTGTGCTCTCTTTCTCAGCATATATTCGTTGGTTGTTTGGAAGTCCTATAAGGATGTCTATACTGCACAGTTTTCTGACATAGGTGACTGATGTAGCTTTTGCTTAGCACACTATCTTGCATTTTCTTTATGCTGCGGTCCCCAGTTGTCTCTTGTAGCATCTGTTGGGCCCAGAGGAAATTCACAATCGAAAATAATGCCTTCACTGTCACCCTTTTCTCTTGCTCATTCATCATGGGCTTCTCTAGCCAGTCTCCTGCTTTCCAGATTCTCAAGGTGGGAATAAGCCTCAGTCTCTGTCTTCACATGCATCCCTAAACATCAAGGGACACATTTTAGACTTACCGAAGAGCTCTTACCTTTCTACCGCCCCTACTCTGATGCACAGCCTGAGTTTCCGCAGCTCCATATGTCTTTAGCAGGGGAGTAACACACCAGTGTCTCCTTGGAAGTCACACTGAATCTCTGTGACCAGTTTTCTTGGAGCACCTCTCACTTGGCTTTGGGGCAGAGTTGTCCCCTCATCAGGAGGAAGGGAAACATTGCTACTATGCTTGAAAATTCATAACTTTGGGGCCCCTGGGCAGCTCAGTCGTTAAGCGTCTGCCTTCGGCTCATGTCATGATCCCAGGGTCCTGGGATCGAGCCTCACATCGGGCTCCCTGCTCAGTGGGAAGCCTGCTTCTCCCTCTCCCACTCCCCCTGCTTGTGTTCCTTCTCTCGCTGTGTCTCTCTCTGTCAAACAAATAAAATATTAAAAAAAAAAAAAAGAAAATTCATAACTTCCCTCCCTCCCAAAAATCTCTCTTTTTTATTATGTAGACTGGGTGGGGTGAAGGTCAAAAACTACTCTGGCCTTTGGAAACTTTTGAGTTTAGATGGCATCTGTTTGGTCTTTTGCCATACTCTTTAGAACTTAGAGGTGTTTATTGCCTCTTGTCCTCAGTTTTGAGGCTTAATCAAAAATTGTGAGACTGCAGGAAAAGACATCATCCACTTCTTGATACACCTACAACAACCCAGTGAGAGAGTGGCATTATCTCTTTATTTGTCCAAGATAGAAAGTAATGGACTTTGAAATCAAACCTAGGTCTAGCTAACTCCAAAGGCTGTGCTCTTTTTTTTCTTTCTTAAAGATTTTATTTATTTTTTCAGAGAGAGAGACAGAGACAGAGCACAAGCAGGGGGAGCTGCAGGCAGAGGGGGAAGCAGGCTCCCCATGAGCAAGGAGCCCGATGATGCAGGACTCGATCCCAGGATCCTGGGATCATGACCTGAGCTGAAGCCACATGCTTAACTGACTGAGCCACCCAGGCATCCCAGCCTGTGCTCTTAACTGGTATATCAAACTGTCTCCTGATTGCATTCGGCTTCCAGGCATGTGAACGAGTGCTGAATTGGCTAAATGTTCTTTTTTTTTTTTTTGCTCAATATGAAGTCCTTTTGGTCTTCAGATAACTTCAAATACCTTATACTTCAGATGAAGAGAATGTCAAAGGCAGGGTTGTTGATTGATTATTTTAAAGCATGAGCCAGTTACAGTTCTTCTTGCTTTACACTAGAAATTCCTAGCTAAGAATTTCCATGGCAAAAAAGTAAATTACATAAACAGAATTGAATACAGTAGTATGCTTCTGTTTTCCAGTGAAACGTGGGAAGAATGTGCTCAAAGGGAAACCTGGGAAGAAGCAGCTCTTCACCTGAAAAATGTTCGCTTTGCCTCAGTTGTGAATTCCTTTGTTGAGAAAGAAAATTACCATTATGTGACCATACTAATGAAAGGAGAGGTGGATATGACTCATGACCCGGAACCCAAGAACACAGAGCCTGAAAAAAATGAAAGTAAGAGAATTATAATATACTCATGCATCTTCTGAGAGAAGCATATCATCTGAGTATTATAGTATGTTGCCATGGGAAGAGACTTAGAGTCTCTTCGTACAGAAATGTAAATATACTTAAATCCTGAGACCATAAGGACACAGCAGGAAAGAGAACTGGCTCCCGAGCCATACTATTTGACTTGCATCCCGGTTTTTCCACTTAGAGGTTTGCAGCCTTGGGCAAGTTATTTAAAGTCTCTGGGCCTCTTTTTTCCTCTATGATAAGAGTAACCACCTCAGATGGGTTGTAGTAAGGATAAAATGAGTTAATATGCATAAAGAACCAAGTGAACAGCCTAAGTACTCAGTAAATCTTAGTTTTATTGTTAGTGTTTTATTTTACTTCAGACTGATTTTAAGGAAAATATTTAAGGTGCCATGCTCAGTGTTCTCACCTGTATAAAGGTATAAATTTCCTTGTATAGAGAGGGACTAACCAGACAAAACAGTTATCCTCCGTGTCGTGTCGGGTGCTCTGAAAGCTGTAACAACAATTGATATTTACTGTGTGCTAAGCGTTGTTTTAAGGGCTTTGCATGTACCACCTCTCTTCAAGTTTCATAAAAGTCCATGACAAAGAGTAAAATATTGAATTTATCAAATATATTATTTGCCATATGACACCTGATCCAAGTGGTCTTGTGTCCTGAACCTCCCCTGTAAACATTTAATTTATTCTCTAATATGGAAGAATCTTTTCATTCAATAAATAGTTCCTGAGTACTGTGTGCCCATTACTATTCTGGGCACTAAAGAAGCGGCGATGGGCAGAACAAAGTCCCTGCCCTCTCAGACGTGACATTTCACTGGGGGGTGGGGGGAAGGCAACAGATTGGCAGGTATTTTACAGTGTAATTATAAGGAATAAGAAGGATAGGGACACATGGGTGCTGCATCAGATAGGGTGGTCAGGGAGGGCTCTGAGAAGGGGACATATATGCAGAGGCCTGGAGGAAGTGATATTTCCAGAATGAATAAATCATCACTGAAGTGTTTTGCAGATTGAATTGATTGAATGAACAGAAGGGCATGTCCCACCCAAAGGCCTGTTGAGTCATATATGATTTTTTTTTTTTAATAAAACAGATAACTACTGGAAATCATCTCAAGTGAATTAGCAAAGTCTGAGCCATTTTTACTCACTATACCCTAACACCAAATGTGTGGCTTTTCTCCTCACACCAAATAATTCTCCAGACATCAGTTGGGTGTCTTACAATTCAGTTGAATTCTTACACTGTCTGGAGTTAGTATCAGATCCCAAAAGTTAAGGAGCTCAGTTCCACAAGACTGTCCCCAGTCACTTCAATTGCCAGTCGAAAGTCCTGGCCTCCTGTATTTCTGACTGCCTGGCTACATTGGGCTTCCCACTACCTCCTCCTCGGGTTCAGTAATTTGCTAGAATGGCCTGCAGAACTCGGGAAAACACTTTCCTTACATTACCAGTTTATGACAAAGGAAACAACTCAGAACAGCCAAATGGAAGAGAGGCACTGGGCCAGGTAGGTGGGGAGAGGGAGGCTGAGCTTCCATACTCTCAAGGAGCATGACACCCTCCTGGCACCTTGATGTGTTCACCAACCGGGAAGCTCTCTGAATTCTGTTGTGTAGGGTTTTCATGGAGGTTTCTATGTAATGGGACTATTGCATATTATTATTGCTACAACTGATTAAATCATTGTCTGCTGGTGATTAACTCAATCTCCAGCTCCTCTCCCCTCACCTCAGGTGGGATGTGGGTGGTGGGAAGTCTTTCTGGTCACCAGCCCCCATCCTGAAGCTATCTAGGGACCTCCAGTGACCCATCAGCTTATTAGCATAAACTCAGATATGGTTGAAAGGGGTTTATTATGGATAACAAAAGTTGTTCCTCTCATCCCTATCACTTAGGAAATGACAAAGGTTTCAGGAACTCTGTGCCAGGAAACAGGGAGGAAGGCCAGATATGTATTTCTTATATCACAGTAACACACACAAAAACACCCAAAAAGTATCCAAAGGCCTCCGGTTGGCCTTGGGCACAACTAAAATCACTCATGCCTTAAGAAGGGAAAGCAGGACAGGTAGGTGAGAAATGTACCAGGTTCCCTGGGGGAGCTCTCTACAAGTTCTGCTCTCTCTCCCATCCTAATTATCCTGGATAAATTGAGGACTAGGAGAGAGGACAGTAACAGTGGGAACAAAACTCAATAGTCTAGATATCCTGAAGCTGTGGGGAGGAGCAGTTGATTATTTGGCTTTTTAACATCAAATTGAAGTGTAAATATGGATATTTCCACGTTAACACTTTTTGTAGGACTCCGTTTCCTACAAAGCAGGATGTATTTCATATACCTGAAGCAAAATATATTTCATATAACTGAATTTTTAAAAACGAGTTTGAGGCATCATTTATTCAGGTAATAAATAAGCACAGATCATTGTTATCTAAAAACAGAAACTTCAACTTGGAAGAAATGACCATTTCCTTATTTTTATCTCTGTTACAGGCAAAAAAAAAAAAAAACCTGAGACAAAACGATGAAATAGTTTGGTTTTGTATACTTCGTGTCCTTCATAAGAAGCAGACATAGAAAGTATTCATTTGTAGATAAGGGCCGAGCAGAAAACACCGGAGTGACTGACTGTCCAACCGGCTCTGACCAGTCGGCAGTCCGCTGCCTGTGTCTCTCAGGCCCCAACCCTGCCCGGCCACCCCGCCCGGCCCCTGCAGGGATTGATCGGGCCCAGCTGAGCCCCCTGGTGCAGAGTGCTGGCCGCCTCTATTTCTAGTTACCTTCCCCTGGCATTCAGAAGGTATCTCAGGTTCAGTTCAAGTGTTCAGCTTCAGGTCGTACTTCATGTTTTTCCTTTATTGAACTGTGCATACATAAAGGGCAGAATTTGGGCTCATTCACCTTTGCCTGGCTCCTATTCAGAGTACGTTGTTCAGAATATGTTGAAGGAAGAAGGGAACGAGGGAATGAGGTTCCCAAATACAGTACCTAGACTGGCCTACTTTTTAACAACTTCTAAAAGACTATTCTACTTTATGAAGTTCGTTCTTAGGGTTTTTGTTACTCTACTATTGTACGCATTGTTTTTCTCCTCCTAGAATATGGTAGTTTTGAGTCCTTTTTACATGCTTTGTGATTTTTTAGAATTCATTTATATAACTTTTTTTGAGTTTGTCTCCCTTCATTTGGTTGACCCTCTCACATGCTAGTAATCTGAAATCAAACAGCATGATTTTATAAGGCCCAAGGTTACTAGGACCAAGTCAGATTGGACCAGAAACACTCATTCCACTCTATCCCTTAGTAACAATATAGCAGGCATTATTTTCACTTTTTTCCCAGTTGAGAGCCCTTGCTGAGGACCAGCTGCAGCACAGCCAAGATGCAGTAGCTCCGTGGTGGTGGTGGTTTTATTTATAGTATAAACATGCGGTCTCTCTCCCATGTTCATCAGATCCTGGATCTGGCTCCCCCGCTTCAGGTTACAAGTTAGAGCATCTTTCCTCCAGCCAGCCAGTTATAATTAGGAGGATCAGCCAGGTGCTTCATTTTCTCCAAGACAAGAGAAACTTTACAGACAGCTCTCTTGAGACTGTTAATTCGGCATCTTGCAGACCATTGCTGGGTGACACCTCTCTGTCCCTCTCTCTCCCCCCCTCCCTCTTTCCCTTTCCTTCCTTCCTTCCCTCTTTCTTTTAGTCTGTGGTCACAGCGGCTGATCACTCCTTCCTGAACCTGTTCTAACTTTATGGATTCTCTGTCCCCTGCTTTCTCAGAGTGAAAGTACATACCTGTATTTTATAGGCAGAGAAATACTTAGTGGGAGTAACTGCACTTAAACATAAGTATACACATGTGATCATGAGGAAACGTAGTTTGAACGTGGAGTGTATATCTTAATAATATAGTATTTATATATTCATCTGTTAGGAGCATCTGTGCTTTCGTGTTATTTACATCTAAAGATTTAATTAATTTATTTATTTGGGAGAGAGAGCACTTGTGTGTGAGAGTGGGAGGAAGAGGGAGGGAAAGAATCTCAAGGAGTCTCTACACTGGGCTCATGGAGCCCATTCTGGGGGCTTGATCTCACAACCCTGAGATCATAACCTGAGCCAAAACCAAAAGTAGGTTGTTCAGCCCAGCCACCCAGGCACCCCTCATGTTATTGACATTTAAATCATCAAAGAAGGGGTGCCTGGGTGGTGCAGTCTGTTGAGCAGCCAACTCTTGGTTTGGGCTCAGGTCGTGATCCCCGGTCCTGAGATGGAGACCCTGTCGGGCTCTGTGCTCAGCATTGGAATCCACTTCAGATTCTCTCTCCCTCTCTCCCCTCTCTCTCTCTTTGCCCCTCCTGCTCACCTGCTCATGCTCTCTCTCTCTCTCTCTCAAATAAAATAAATAAATAAATAAATAAAAATAAAAAATAACTCATCAAGGAAAACACTGTTCCCTAGAATGTTCCTCTAGAATTTTATGGATTTCACAACTAATAGACACTGTTTAATCTTTCTTCTTTCAATGGATTTTTTTAAAATTGGTCCCATCCCTACTGTCTTTCTACCTAAAGTGTACTGCAACACAGAGAATACTTCTTATTCTCTGCACAGCTTCCATTACCTTTTAAAAAGATGGAGGATAGCTTAGAAATGTAATTTACCGGTGCGCCTGGGTGACTCAGTCGGTTAAGCGGCTGCCTTCGGCTCAGGTCATGATCCCAGGGTCCTGGGATCGAGCCCCGCATCGGGCTCCCTGCTCAGTGGGGAGCCTGCTTCTCCCTCTCCCACTCCCCCTGCTTGTGTTCCCTCTCTCACTGTGTCTCTCTCTGTCAAATAAATAAATAAAAATCTTTAAAATAATAAAAAAAAGAAATGTAATTTACCTTATTCTATAGGTGAGGTAACTAGTTTATTTTAATGTAGTATTGTAACCTGTCGTATATAAAGTTCTGTGCGTTTCATTTAAGCCAAATATTTAAGCAAAAATGGAATGGTCCTAAATCTGGGTTTTACCATAATGGGGCTCTTATAAACTTGGCTTCATGTGGAAATAACAGCATGTTTTAAATGATCACCATTCTGTTACGCTCATTCTAAATGCAAATTATGTTGGTACAGCAGAGCTAATGCATAGCATCACTGTGATTAGTAGCATACTGTTATCAGTGGCGGGTCGTTTTTGAATTTAATCAGTTTTTTCTCAGGATAGGTTAACTTGCCAAAATAAATATTCTTTGTTTGCTTCTAGCTAAATTAATTGATTTGGTATCTTTCTTTTCTAGGTTGGGAGTGGGTTCCCTGGGAAGAATTTCCTCCACTGAACCAGCTTTTCTGGGCACTGCGTTGTTTAAAGGAACAAGGCTACAATCCATTTAAAGAAGATTTGGATCATCTGGTAGAATACAAAGGACATCATCCTTGGGGGTACAAGAAGAAAACCTGATTTATTTTAAAAAGACAAAAGAAGGTCCTGTTAGAAAATGAAAAATATCTACATTTCAGAACAACTCCATTTTATTTAGAAAGTTCCATATGATTGTCAGTTTATTTGATCTCTCTTAATATACCCAACACCCTTTCAGCCAGTACTTGTGAAAAATTTTTGGGCATTATGTCATGAAGTGCACTTCAGACTCAGCGTGACAAATGGTGGTATTGTGGCACTTCTGCTCTCTGTATTTCTTTGTGATTTTTACTGTGCAGTTTGTCATGACCAGCTTGCATGGGGTGGAGGGCAGTAGGATTTGCCTTAGTGTTTCCGTTCAAATAGAGATCCTAGTTCAGATGCTAACACAGTGTGCCTGTTGCAGAATTTATCCTGTCTGTTGATTTTCCTCTTCTGTTTTATTTAAAGCAAAATTTTTAGTACTGAATTATGACCGTCCTTGCACCTGGAGCAACAGGACAGGTCATTAGGGTGTATGTCCCAGAGTTCTGATTCAGAACCTACCTCAAGAGAAGTGAGACAAACCGCCTGAGATATTACCCTGTCATTAACAGGCCATGTAATTTTGGATTTCTCACCTAATCTCTGTGAGATCCAGCTTCCTTATATCTAAAAGAAGAGTAGACTAGGGCACTGGTTCTCAAGGTGTGGTCTGGGGAGGTCTGTGAGACCCTTTCAAGGGCACTCAAGGTGAAAGCTGCTTTCATAATACCAGGACATTATTTGCCTTTTCCACTGTCATTCTTTAATGAGTGTACAGAGGAGCTGTCCAGAGGCTAAGGGACACGTGATATTGTAACAGACTGAATGCAAGAAGAAACCAGGCAAGCCTCATGGATGATACTCTTCATAGGTTTATCTCAAATATAGTTGATTGGGAATTCATTGATTCCTTTTTTTTAAATTTAAATTCAATTAACATATAATGTATTATTGGTTTCAGAGGTAGAGGTCAGTGATTCATCAGTTATATATAACACCCAGTGCTCTTTACATCATGTGCCCTCCTTAATGCCCATCACCCAGTTATCCCATACCCCCACCCCACTCCCCTCCAGCAACTCAGTTTGTTTCCTATGACTAAGAGTCTCTTATGGTTTGTCTCCCTCTCTGATTTTATCTTGTTTTATTTTTTTTCCTCTCTTCCCCTATGATCCTGTTTTGTTTCTTAAATTCCACATATCAGCGAGATCATATCATAATTGTCTTTCTATGATTGGCTTATTTCACTTAGCATAATACCCTCTAGTTCTATCCAAGTCATTGCAAATGGCAAGGTTTCATTTTTTTGATGGCTGAGTAGTATTGCATCGTATATATATACATCTTCTATGTCCATTCATCTGTCAATGGACATCTGGGCTCCTTCCATAGTCTGGCTATTGTGGGGAATTCACTGATTCTTTAGGCTAGTACTTATCACCAAGCAGATGTGTTACAGCTTCAGAGACTTACCACAAACCTGTAGAGTTTTTCCACATCAGCTACTTTAAATTTTTGATAGACTCATTAGGAGCTTGTGAGATTGTTTGTTTTAAATTCACCCAATTAGACATGAAGGTTTATTGCAATGGAAATTAAAAACTAACCTGGGCTCTTATTTATAGGGAAAGGTGAAAGGATAAGTTTCATATTAGAAGGGGATTGCATTTATCCCAGTACCTAATATGCTCAGTTGGCATCCCATAATCACTCAGTAAATATTTCTCTAAATAAGCAGATGAACGGAGGAGGATTTAGAACTCTTATGTAAGCAGTTAATTCTTAGGTGATTTGAGAATTGCCTTTAATGGAAAAAAACGAATGTTGACTACTAGCAATATTCTCTTAAGATTAAATGTCGGCTAGAGTTCCTGAGGTATACCTTACCCCCACAGGACGCTGGGGAACCTGAAATATCTCTTCATCTGTTTGCTAGATCAAGCCCGGAGGTGTCCTGTATCCCCAGATAAGCAAGTGCGGTATCCTAGCAAAAGCATTCCCAGTAGAGCATGATGTGAATTCAGCCTCCCTTACCTCCACTTGGAAGAGACAGTTCCCTGATAGCTTAACTGCTAGCTTTCCAAATAAGGCAAATGCTTTCAGATGAAACATTCTCTTTGGGGCAGCAAGGATCATATTAACTGGGAACTGTGGAGAAGGAAAGCTCAGGGAGTCATCTCTGTGGGAGAACACAAAGTCTTGTTCCAACATAAAATCAATCACATGTCAATGCTGCCTTTTAAAAAAAATAGATTATTTATGTTGTACTGAATTTGAACCCATCACACTTAATCCCAAATTCCCATTCTAGACTTCCTCCCATTTTTATGTTTAAAATGTTTAAGTATTTGGCTTTTTGCATAATAATATTGCTTAGTGTTCAGTATAAATATCATTAAACACCTATCACAGTACTTGGCACACCCCTCTGGTTGGCTAACTAACTGAGGTAAAATACACATGACAAAATTTGCCCTCTGACTTATTTTTGACAGTATACCTAGAATGACTTTTCAAAAACTTGAATCTGATGGTCATTTGGCTTCTTTTCAATTGAGGCTGTTACAAATAAAGCTGCTGTGAGCACTTGAACATGCTTTCTTTGGGGTTCACATGTGTATTTATTTCCGTTGGATATAAACAGATGAGTGGAAAGGCTGGGTGACAGAGTACATATCTTTGCTAAAGAAATCTTTTTTTTTTTAAAGATTTTATTTATTTATTTGACAGAGAGAGACACAAGCAAGAGAGGGAACACAAGCAGGGGGAGTAGGAGAGGGAGAAGCAGACTTCCCGCTGATCAGGGAGCCGGATAAGGGGCTCGATCCCAGGACCCCGGGACCATGACCTGAGCCGAAGGCAGATGCTTAGCGACTGAGCCGCCCAGGGGCCCCTTGCTAAAGAAATCTTAATGTGCTTAATTTATAAGTTGCCTCTTCAGAACTTGCTGGGGGTATTATATAACATATGAGAGAGAGAGAGAGAGAGATCCTGGATATATATATAGTTACCAGGATATATATATATCCTATTAACTTTCTAGAATATTTTAAGAAATCTAAATTCTGAAATACATTTAGACACCAGGGTTTTGGATGAGAGATTGTAGAGCTGTATATATAAATGCAAAGTGAGTGTGTACATCGCAGTTTGATTTCTTTGAGGTACACGTGAAATTCCCTTTTCTTTTTTAATCCCCTGCCCCATCAACCCTCATAAGGAATCTACATCCCTTCATCCTCTGTTTTTCTGTTTGGGTTTATTTGTTGTCATGTTCTTTGTCCGTGTTGATTTGTGAGTGAAACCACAAGCTTCCCTGACGGAAGAGGTGCTAAGACCGTTGAATTATGAATGCCATGCCTGAGAAGGGTCCTGAAAGGCTTTAGGGCCTGATGCTCAAACTTGGATGGAAGGCCTCACACAGATTTCCAGTCAGCAGGTAACGAGCAGATTCCCCGATCTGCCTTCTAACGGCCATCCCGTGACTCTGAAACACTTGGGATATGGCCACACTTTGAGAAAAATAACCACTTTCCAGATAGTTTTCAGTGTAACCAATATGGCCATTGTGCTTTGCACAAACGTAATATGGGAAAGGCAGGTGTAGAATAATAATTTTAAACCTTGGACACTTTGAATAGAATCCTATTGTAATAAATCTGACCAAATACCAACATTACTGTTTACACTTAGTCAAAATGAAACCCTATTGTTACACAATAGAGACTAGTACAGGATGTTCTTTGTGTGCAGTTTAGAAAAAAAATTGAGCAGAGGGAATTTTGAAAAAGCCCATTCTTAGAGCACTAAGCAGTGATTCTGGAGGATGTTTTCATACCAAACCTGTAGCAAATTGTGTTTTCAATGACAGAGAAAGGAGTGATGTTGGGTGAATGGGAATATGCTACCCCTAAATATGCCATTTTGGCATGATTAATTAAAGTTACTTAAGAAAGAGCCAGTGCGGGGACATTCTGACCCTCCTTTGTCTGCCTGAAAGCAGGAAATAAATCTCCCATGTGAAAGGTACCCTTCTTATATACCAGGAGTTAGAGAGACATGCTTATCACCAGAGATAGGGAACTTAGCAACGAGAAGACTGCATAAACAAATACTGTTACTTCTTCACTAATTTATTACCCCAAGCCCAAACCCCTTTGTCTTGTCAGTTCTGCACAAACTTGTTTGTCTAAAAGGTATAAAAGATGCCTGCATTGGGCACTTCTTTGATTTTCATATTTTTATGGGTTCCATATATACAAAATTAGATGTTTTTCTCCAATTAATCTACGTCAATTTAGTTATTAGATCAGCCAAAGAACCTAGAAGAAGGGAAAAATTTTCTGCCCCGACATGGGGCATGCTCATTTTAATAAAGGTACAACGTCCGTGAGTCTCAGACTTACAACAGGATCAAAGAGTTAAATTTTCAGTGTGGGGAAAACAGCAATCCAAAAAGCATGACATTTCTTGTTTTTGTTTAAAAATTAATGCTAACTTTTGGGGTGCCTGGGTGGCACAGTTGGTTGAGCATCTGACTCTTGGTTTCCACTCAGGTCGTGATCTCAGGCTCGTGAGATTGAGCCCCGTGTTGAGCTCTGTATGTCGGGCTCTGTGCTCAGCATGGAGTCCGCTTGAGACTCTCTGTCCCTCTCCTTCTGCCCTGCCCCCTTGCTCTTTCAAATAAATAAATCTTTAAAAAAATTAGTATAATAATAAAAATTTAGGCAAACTTTGATGAGACCCAAGTGTTTGAATATAACATTTTTGGTCATAATATCTTTAATTGATCATAGTATCTTTAAATTAACACCCATATATGTATTTATTGATTTTTTTTTTTTTAAGATTTTTTTATTTATTTATTTGAGAGAGAGAGAGCACATGAGAGGGGGG